CTACCTCACCTCCAGGCAACCTATGCCCATAATTTCTATTGATTTTGTTGTATTTATTATTGGCTATCTGTCCCTCAAGAAAGATTAGCTTACCTTTCTAATTATGAAAAAAGCTTTGAGCCAGTAAATCCACATAAATCGTCATAGACAGTGCCTAAAATTAACAAAATACTAATGTTAGTCCTTATATGGATGCTTTGTCACCATTATAATGAGTTGCTGGTTTAAAAAATCATTTGAGCATTGCACTTTCACCTTTGGATTGAACCCCATGAAATCATAATCAATTAGATATAACATTGGAATATATTTACCTTAATAATATTTTGCAAAGATGCCTATATTTTTTAATATATGCTGGAAAAGAAGAATATAACAATAATTTCATTGGAAATACGTTGGGGAAAATTGTTTCTACATACTTTTTGGAATCTGTGGTAATGTCCTTTTAAAACTATGTTCCAATTACTTAGCAAAATAAAATTTTACATTCTTAAGTGATATGTCCCAAAACCATTGAAAAGTGCCAACTACGAATACTACTCTCCTACAATTTTTCTAACAGAATGCAGTAAGTAGTATTTCACAAGCGTACTAGGCGCTCATCAGATAGCAGATTAAAGCAAAACTGCTGGCTCAGCGGAGCTCATCTGCTCAAGCATGTGAACTCCATATGTACACATGCAAGTCCTTATGTAGATACATACATATGGACACACATGCATGAAAGTAAGAGTCATTCTTCATCTTTAAAGTATCTAAAGAAAATATCGAGAATATGGCACAAGAAATAATGAAATGAATAAGTAAGCCTCAGTCTGGTTCCTTTCTCAGGAATAATAAATTTCAACGGTGATAGCTTTGGTATTCCTTTTTACATTTTTTTCAGTTGCTCCTTTTAACCTTTTATAGAATTTTCACAGCTAAGCCACTGAATTTATATACAATGTGAGTGTACTGCATAATTCTTTTTCTGGTTCTCACCACCACCTATAAATTGTTTTCTTGGTTGTTCTAGTTCTACAGACTTAAGTCATACCTAGGGAGTCTCCTTTAAGAAAAATAAAAAGGCCAGAGCATTCTTGAAATTAGTAAAGGAAATTGCTTTTAGAAAATTCCCTTAATATTATTATGTATGGAAACTTATCTTTTTAATGTGTCTGCATGTTCATGTTCCCTTTGGCCCTGTAAGATATACCGACTGGTGTGATGGTTAGTTCTGATTTTAAAAAGAGAAATATTAATTTTTAAACTAGTAAAGAGCCTGAGCCCCCATGATATTAGGATTGTGACTAAAGGAATTTAATTTTTAAAAATATATGTACCAAAAAGAATTTTACAATTCTCAATTGCTCTCTAACAGTGACTGAGGTTCATGTCTGGTAGCTAAACCAAGTATGGTAGAGAAAAATACAAGATGGATATAGGGATGACAGGACAGAAAAGAAAATTCGTATTGAGTTTTGGCCACTTCTCAAAAATGTGCATTTTACATAACTGGTTATTAGGTCTTTAGGAAAGTCCTGATGGATTTTTCTATGCAAAGATGCATCATGTCTTTCCCAGTGACCCAAGAGATGAACATAATTATTATCACACTTTACTGGCAAAGAAACCAAGCCAGAAAAAAGCATGGGTACTAAAAATTAGAAAAAAAATTTAAAATACTTACCAATAGTGCTTAGCCAGCATAATTACATTTTAGCTGCTTAGCTGCTTAATATTTTGACTTGCTATATTTTTTAATATTCAGAAAAATTGTGTATGAGCACACAGAAACATACACTCTGAAGAAAGTAAAGACTAGAAAACCCAAGTTTTAAAACAAACAGGCACTAATAACTTCTTGGGTACTTTCAGGTAATGTGTACCTCACCTGTGTTATCTACATTTGGCTTTTCAAACAAAAACAAATACATTTATTTCTTAATAACCCAAGAGCTTGAATCGGGTCTTGTTTCTCTTCTTTCACATTTTATGAAAAGCTTATGGAAAAAGAACGTGCATGACCAAAATATGAGAAGATAATTGAGTGATCCTTCCTTTTCATTATATCCAATAAATATAAGATCCATTAAATCCTGGGAAGACTTCATCTAGTGTCATAATAAAGTGATTTTTAAATATTTTCAAATAATGCTTTTAAAAAGCACATGCAGTCAGAATGCACACTGAATGTTCATACCATTGTTTTTTAAAGGAGAGTGAAAAAGGAGGACTACTCAATAAAGCTTAGCAAGCAGCCAGTCTGTGGCATGTTATAGAGAGACTGGCCCAATTCTCTTTTCCTAGGGTTGGAGGATAATTCGTGTACTTGCACATATACTCTAACCAGGCTTTATTCGTATGGCTCTTTCCAAACATGTATGGAAAATGGCATAGGAGACACTAAGGGACAATATCAGAAACACATAAGAATTGCCTAAGACACCAGGCAGTACTTGAATATGGTGCAAATTAGACAAGAAAAAAAGCTTCTGCAAAACAAATGAATATATATATATATGTGCATGTACGTGTGTGTGTGTGTGTGTGTGTGTGCATATGCACATGCCACTGTGTACATCCTTCTAGTGGAGGCCATATTTCTGATGGTGTGTGATTGCTTATTGTGACTTCAGATAACATGTAGTCCCTTCAAAATACTAATATTAATAATAATAAAGACAGAAAGATTATTTGTTTGAAACAATGAGCAAGAAATCAGCCCAAAACAATGTTTATAAAGAGTTTAAACTTTAATACAGAAGTGATCTGTATAAATACATAAATTTGGTCATCAAAACAGGCATGATTTATTTACACTGTGATTCTAATAGCATAATATTTTTTGATGTGGCTTTAATCTTTCCCTCAAAGTTATGTGTAGATAATACCACAGTACCATAAATCTTGCACATTGCCAGTGGTAACTACTTTGGATTAGTGCAAGGCACATTCTCTCAGAATCAATACAGCCTTATAAATTTATTTTAGATTATGTTACATACTATGCATAACCAGCTTCAACTTATATTCTAAAGTGTAAGGTCACACTAAAGAGACAAACTGGGCAGTTTATAAGTGTTGTGGTTTTTAAAAATTGGTTAATTTTATTCTTATTATTTTTATTCAGGTACTGTAAGTAATCTAATTTTTTGTTTAAAATTCAGTAAGTCACTCTAAGGTGGTTATTAAATTGCATTTTTTCACTGCTTCCAAAAAGCTGTCAATTTAGAATTCTTATCCCATAGTGTAAAATAGTATTTCTAGTTCAAGATATATGTTTTTCTGCAATTAAAATTAATTTTACCATAATTATTAGGGACTCTTTTCAGGAAACTATGGTAAACTTCTATTACATCACTAAAGAATACCATACCATTTTTGCAATAGACCCCGTCCCAGCAAAGCAACATTTTAGACAATGGACAAGAAGATCTATCTCCTAGTGGCCAATGGAATCCTTATCCACTTGGGAGGCGGGATGTACCTCCGGACACCATTACTAAAAAGGTAACCAATTTCAAATTGATGACACAATCCATGAACCTTGCACGTTCATTGTAATATGTAATCTGTATCTTGTGTTTTAACATCATTTCTAATTTTCTGGTAACTTTAAATATTATCCCACTGTAGGAAATTTGATTAACTCTAAATGCATTGGGAAGACTTCATACATTATCATTGACAAGTATAAAGTTGGTAATGAATTTTTACACAAAATCCTGCCACCATTCTGCAGATATTATCACCACTTGCCAGACCCTGCCACCCATTTTTGAAGTAAAGGGACAGATGGCATCTGACATATACTTCTGATCCTCTTGGGTTCAGCCGTGTGTTGTAGCCCATTTGCATAAAATGAAATTTGACCACACAAAGGTAGATTCACCATTTCTAAAACTACAGCAGTGCATTCAACAAGCCTTTAGTGAGCTACTGTATGTCACTGAGCCCTTATAAATGCTGGAGAGACAAAAAAGTCTAAGAGTGACTTTGCTCCATCTACTGAATGGGGCATATAGAAAGAAGAAAAGGTGGTGGGCCAGCCAGTGACGGTGGCTCAGACACTGGATCCTGGCCACCTAAACTCAATGTCTTGAAAAATACCCTGGGTATGTGTGCATGCATGCTCAAAATCCTGATAGGAGAGTAGAGGAGAAAGGGATTGCTTTCATCACCCATGGGGGTGCTTTCTTACTTTCTCTCTGTCTCTCTCCTTCTTTATCTCTCTCCAGCAAGCACATGTGCTCTGTGGCAAACTAAAAATAAATAAACAAATGGAAGTGGAGGAGAAAGGAGAGTTGGCATGGTTTTTTGGGTTCTGGTGTTTTGTTTTGTTTTTAAGTTTGTTACAAGGCATGTGCACTTGCCATAGAGAGACAGAAAAAAAAGTGAGAAAGCATCTCCAGAAGCTGGTGGCCATACTGTAATCCCTTCTCCTCTATTCTTCTCTTGGGATTTTTGGCACATACGCATATGCACCTGGTGTGTTTTCTAAGCCACTGAGTCTAGGACTTGAACTGCACAGTCAGCCATATGGGACCCAGTTGCCTTAACCACCACACCACCAGCTGGCCCAGTTTAAATTTTAATATATTGATTAGAGGTATCTCTAAGGCATATTAGTGGAAATGTTTAGTGATGTTTAGATATAATTATTTGAATTTCAGTACAGAAATCTTTTTTTTTTTTTAGAGGATTTTTGCTATAGGGCCTGTGTCCTCACCAGAAAGACCGAGAGAGACAGACAGAAAGTGAGAAATCATCCGTTGGGGGGATGGCCACACTGCAGTCCTTTTTCTTCCATTCTCCTCTTGGGATCTTGGGCACACACACGCACATGCACCCGGCATGAGTTTAAGCCATCGGGTCCGGGACTTGAACTGCGGTCGACTACATGGGAGTCCTATGACATAGCCATTATGCCAACTACTGGTCCCTCAGTACAGAAATCTTAGCCATAGGTAACAAATTTAGGAATCACCAGAATATACCTTATAATTGAGTCATAAGTGAGACAGAAGAATGACACAGAACCCCTGGGACACCAACATTTAAGAGATGTACAGTGAGCCCACCGGTGGCATGAAGGTTAAGGCATATGGATCCCACATGGCTGACTGCGGTTTGAATCCTGGAAAATGTTTAAAAAAAGAGATGTACAATGG